AAAGCTTCTGATGGAGCTCTCGGGGAGATTCCTGTCCTGTGTGATCAGGGTGGCTAGACTACCACCGGTGCACAATTCTACCACTAGCCATAAGTGGTTACTGGTTTCATACCACTCATAAAACTTTACCACATTGGGGTGGCTGATGTCATGGGTCATTCTAACCTGTAAAAAAAATTCATTTACATTTAGATCCCAACAATCATTAGTACTTACAGTTATTACACTAGTACACTTCATTTAATCAAATTATTTTCAATTGGTAAATTCAAAAAAATGAATGATTTTTTTTTCGATTTTCTATTAATTTTTTTCAAGAATAATTAGAATATGCATATAATGGCTTTACATATTATGTTCAGTAAGTACATAAATCATTTTCAAAATAATGAGTATTTCTTTCAGATGTTTTTCAACTTAACAAAATTGTACAAAAAATTAACATAGACACTTTCCAAATTCTTTTCAAACCACTGCTTTCCGATTGAAAAAGTAACCAATTATTTTTTAAAAATTTCCTACCGTATTGGTAACCTCTGGGCGTTTGCATTTCTCTATACAGTGGATGGCCACAAAATTTATTGTCCCCTTCCTTCTACCTTTATAAATGATGGAGTGGTCTCCCCTTCCTAATTCCTCATACAACACAAAATTCTCCATTTTCACTGTTTATTCTTTTGCAATGCCTACCTGCAGTAATGAAATATTTGACCTATATTAAATTTTAAAAAAATCAATTTTCATAAACAAATACCTACTGGATTTCTTTTTGCTTTTAAAAGTCCCATCCCCAATATGTCCCAAAATAAAGATAAGAATATAATTTATTCTGCATTGAACAGGTCGGGACCAATTTCCCAAAAGGGATACAATCCAAACTGTGATTCACATCAATTCACAGTGTAAATACATGTTATAAAGATTTTTCTTCAAAAGAGACATCAATATATATGTTTTTAGCTTCAACAAATCTGGCTGCACTGAGATTAATCATATCCCAATGCAAATATTGAAAAAATTATATTCCATTCCAGTTGTTTCAATTTCTGCTTCAATTTTGAAATTAATGGATTCATGGCTAATACAAGAGATTAACGGTGTTTTATGTGCAAGTGTTATTGTAAACAGCAGAGACTCGCAACTGTTGGAAGTCGATCTTGCACTACTAGTATCTCAAGTTCCCTATTGTTTAATTTTTCAAATCTTGTGCAACTTAAATCCCATAAAACTTTAAAATTATCTGTGATTACATAGTCAAATTTTTAATTTACACATGCATTAAAAAATTATTCCAGATTTTATATTCAAAGCCTGAATTTTTAATGAAATAATTTATTTCCTCTTGGGATTTCAGTGGCGAGAATTTTTACAATGAAAAAGTTGCTGGAGGTTACGCTGCGACAAGTCAAAAGTATCTCACCGTGAACCTCTAGAAGTAATCTAAGCAAGATGTCGTAGGAACTAAAATTTTTGGTCTGACGTTGTAGTAGTCGTCAGACCAAAATTTTTAGTCCTTATGACATCTCGCTGAGATTACTCTGGTCTAGTAGTAGGCTTAGTGTGCTGGAGTAGCAGAGCACCTGACTCGAGTTTCAGAGGGCCAGGGCTCGAATCCCAGTCTAGTCCGCTGCATTTTCTCCTCTCTCAGTATTATTTAAAACACACACTTAAACACGAATCAATCGATCAAGTTATCAACATAAAATAACATTACTGTTGTTGATTACCATTGATTTCAATAAATAGCAACGAAAGACCACAATCTCCTTCGTAATCCGGGGATGAATTCCCGGGCTCCAATCCCGCTAAGACACAGACCTTACACCAAAGAATTTTTTGTTGTAAATGATCATAAAGTTCAACAGAAATATTTCGGAATGTTTTAGCTAGTAGCAGAAGGAATTTAGCTGACGTATTTTGATTGGATTATATTCAACATTCTCCACGAATCAAAAGTGATTTAACTAAATACAAATTATTGTGCAACCTTACGTAAAATAATTCGTACAGTCCTCCAAAAATAACGATCAGTCCGGATTAAAAAAAAATTCCCATATTAATCAAAGTGATCGTAAATAAACATATTTAAATTTATGCTAAGCCTGGTGAACTTGAGCCATTTAAAACAACAAAACATCCTGCACATTAACAAGGGTTTTTGAGTCGGTCCATTTTCCAGCTCACTTTAATTTTCCTTTTTCCCAAAGCATATATTCAATTGTTTTTTGCTGTTTGTTTTAAATCATGACAATAAACATAACTATATATATATATATACATACATGTGCATGTTTATATCACAGTGGATTGATTTAGATAATTGGGGGGGGGGGGAGGAGGTAGAAAAAAAATTCCTATCCAAATTTGAGGGTTTTTTTTTTTTTACATTGGAAAGTAGAAAGTTGGACTTTTCTCCGACTTTCGGTACAATTTTTTTTTCATAATGCAGGAATTTGCCGGTTTTTGACCGTACAGAACCACCACCCACCCACCCAAAAAAAATGGGGTAAGGAAGAGGTAATATTAATCAGCTCTAAAATAAAAATCACGTATACCAGGTATTCAAACAGATTAAATTTTTTCTCAGACCCCCCCTCCCTACCTGTGTAGAAAGTTGCAAGGACTTTTCTCCGACTTTCAGTACAATTTTTTCCATAATGCAGGAAATTGCCGGTTTTTGACCGTACAGCACCACCACCCACCCCAAAAACTAAAAATGGGGTTAGGAAGAGGAAAGCAGCCCCCCCTTCTCCCCATATACTTCGGGCCTATACAATGGATCAAAACCTCATTATGCCAGAATTTTTTTGCAATGGTAAATTAATGAAACAAAATTTAAATTGGCAATGCTTAAAAAAATAAATACAAGCCGTTATCAGGCTGTTCTAGTCTGGGGTGTAGGTGAAACTGAAATTATAAGAAAACAAAAGTATGACTAAGTATGAGACATTCCCTTTTCCGATATGCACACAGTTATCCTTGACCTTAAACTACATGTAATCCCATGCAAGGAAGTATCAAACATGATTAAGAACAACATAATTCCTCGATCCATTCTTTTATGACTGGTAGATATAATTCTCCACATGTTGATCTTTATAAAGTGTATAATTATGCATTACAAACAGCGACGTACATAGCCGCGGAGCGTGCGCTGCAACAGTAAGTTTTATAACCTACATTTTCAGTGACAAATTTAGTTAATACATGTACAAATTGTACATGTATATGATTTGAAGTTTCGCAGTCATGTTTGAAAGAGACAATAAAGACAAAAAAGTGAAGTGAAAACTTTTGTAAAAATTAAACTTTGAAAAAAGTGTGGCATCCTTCATGCTAATTGTCCGGCAAAACCCCAAATCATAAGTGAGAGAGAGAGTCAAGCTTCATAAATGAAAACTTAAATTGTTTAAAAATTAAACTTTTAATGAGGAAAAAAATTAGTTTGGAAAAAAAATGTGGATGGAACAGAACTCTGAAGATAAGATATATCTGTTTCTAAAGTGCAATTCTACCTTATAAGATATAAGATATTTTGTTGACCAGTCAATAACACTGATTATGGCATCTAACTGAATTAATGGAATACAACATTACAAGAACATGGAACTTTTATTTACTTGCACTATCGTAAAGATAAACCCGCTAAAAAGATTCCCTAAATCTGACTTTAAAAAAAATAGACCGAGAATCTCCAGTATGTCTTAATCATGGGCGTCCGAAGCAAATTGAAAAGGGGGGGGGGTGTGTGTGAATTTTCAATGCCTATATAATGTCTATTTTGGCAATGGGGGGGGGGGGGGGACGCCCATGTTAATAAGTGATGAAAAATGTTCTCCGCAACCGACCTTGAAGGTAAAACCAACTTTTTTGTTAAACATTTGTGTGTAGGGAGGTAGTCAAACCTGTTTTTGTAAAACAATTTTATGATCGAAAATGTAACTTCAAATGTTAAATAGAATTTTTGAAAAGTTTTAAAATACACATGGTTATGAATTATATTTTTACTTGACAATGTACGTTTCTTCGGACTACTGGTATTTTTAAGATTCTTTTCATATGCATGTTACAAACTACATTTTCAGTGACATTTGCGTTTTCATTTTTTTCCGAGAGGTTAGACCTTCTGAGATGATTTGGTATACAAAGGAATAAAAAATAATTGGAAAAAAAATGTTATGAACCTTGCCAAGTTGGACTCAGAAAAATTCCAATTATTGGCAGTTTCTGTTCATTTTCTAAATGCATAAGTGGAACATAATGAGATGAAATTTTGTATATATCATAAGAATGCTTCGTTTTTGACAAAGTTATGTCCCTTGGACTCAGAAAAATTCCAATATTATTTGCAGTTTCCGTTCATTTTTTTTTTCGCAGAGAATACACCTACTGAAATGAAATTTTTTGTCTAGGTCAAATTCTGTTTTGAGTATAAACTAGCCTTATTTGTCAGAGTTATGCCCCTAAGATTTAGAAAAATTCCAATTATTTGCTATTTCCGTTCATTCATAAGAATATCTGGGTCAGGTTCTGTTTTGGATATATATAATCTAGCCATATTTGACAGAAATGTGCCCCTTAGACTTAGAAAAAATTCCAGATATATGCCATTTCCGTTCATTTTCTTCGCAGAGGTTAAATTACAAAGGTCTACGGAAATGAAATTTAGTGTACAGATTTTTCATAAGAATTTCTAGGTTCAACTTTTGTTTTTGGTAACGATCGAGCCATTTTTAGCAGAATTTTGCCCCCTTAGACTTATATTTACAAAAATTCTAATTAATCCGCTTGAAATTTTGTGTGTTAAGAATACCTAGGAATGGCGTCATATTTTGAACGTAATTCCCTTGCACTTAGAAAAATTCCAATTAATCTTCACCGTAGCAACATAATTTTTCATATCACTACGAATTGAAATTATTAAGTTTACACTGTGTAGCACTGATTACATGCAAAGCAGGCTAGCCAGTTAAAAAGGCGGTTTTACACACAAACATATGATTTAATTGTGCGCGCACACACACAGGTTAAATGGTCGGGGGGCTGGGTCGTAAATATCCAGACACCTAAATGTCTAGGTGATCCTCTCATCCTCCGCAATGCCTAACAGAAGAGACGACATCCACGCAGCTAATCGGAATTTCTGTGTGATTTTGGCCTTTCTGACCGTGTTAATCATTACCTTAATCAGTGTGGTGATTTATCTCTCAGTTAAAGACCGCGACACCGAAGGTAAGTGATCGATCTAAACAAAAATGGTAAACGTGCGTACCTGCGTGTATCGTGCATAAAACGCATTGGCGGATCTTACGCGCGTCGTATGGCGTTTTCCGCTTAATTTTCAATTTCACTCGAAAGAATAATTACTTTGACCTTTATCCCCCCCCCAAAAAAAAAAGAGAGTACAGACATATTTTGTATGTACATATATACCGATAAAACAATTTTTGTATTTTTATTCCTTATTTTTTGTAGAAAACAATTCTTCAAAGATGATTACAAGTTCTCCTTTTGGAACTCATAATGGGAAGGAGGTCCTACAGTAAGTGCAGCTTTGTCGTGTCTAAAATCCATTACAAAGTTAGCAGAATGTAAAAATACTTTATACAAAATTTTCATAATAAGACTAAATCAAGAATGGTGTAGGAAGCATGGGGGTGTTCCTAAAATTTTAATAATTTTTGCCGATATATATTACATTAATTAATAAATACGTCTAAATATAAATATACTAAATATGAATATATGGAAATATGTTACCACAGCAATTACTTCTGATGAAATTCCGGGTGTTACTGTATTTCATTATCAAGGATTTTTTGCTTCATAGCCCCCCCCCCCCTCCCAATGAAATTCTTCACTGCAGCCCTAATTTATGTTTTCATAAGCTGCGTTATAACAATAATTAATTTCAAAAAACCACTTATTTACTATTTGTATTAAACATGAAACAGGGGAAATTATAGATTAACTTAGTAGCCAATAGTAGGTATATTGTTGTAATATACATTTAATGAATAGCTCAATTCTGGAATTCAAACATGTGAAAGACATTTATTTGTAAATGATGGAAGAATTCATTCCAAAAAATATTTTTAATAAATTTTATTGGACCTTGGTGAAAACTGTTTACGTTATTTTTTGCCCCCCCCCCTTTAGTTTTCATTCTAAATTTTCCATATCTCGATTTAATTAATGTTTATTTAACATGTTTAAACATCTTCGAAATATGTTCAAAATTTATTTTAGCAGTAATATTACCTTAAAATCGCTTGACATTTTTTTTTTTAAATTGGCATATTGATTTAAAATTCCGATTTATAGCAGATATACCGATATTTTGAAGCGATACCACTTGTTAGTGGTATAACTCGATTCAGATTTATGTAGAATATAAAATTTTATATTTTAATATGTTAATTTTGTGCAGGTATACGTTAAAGAATAGTAAAGGGACAGAAATACGCATTCTAAACTATGGAGGAATTATCACAAATATTATGATACCGGACAAGACTGGGAAAATGGATGATATTTGTCTTGGTTTTGATGGCATGGAAGGTAATTAAACTAGCTAATTCAGACAATTGATGTCCCCCGCTTACGGTAAAAAAGAGCATGTGCAGATGGGGGGGGGGGGGGGGCTCTCCACTGTATTTGCAGATTTATTTATCAAATAAGGAAATGCCAATATATATAGATACATGTATATAGATTTGATTGGTTAATTTTTAAAATGTTTACAGAAAATTTGTTTTTATATAAAATAATTATAACTCTGTAATAATTATGATATTATGAGAAAGTTTATGTTCATGCCTGATCTCTCATAACTTCTTCTTTTCATATGTTGAATACTCAGTACTTTCTTCTAGTATATCTCTAAAAAAAAAAAAAAAAACTGGATAATTTGACTTTTTCTTTACTATCATAAAAAAGTATGTCGTGAAAAGTCATATCCCATTTCATTTATTATAGATTTTACTTTAAAGTGTAATTGTCAGTAAAATTCAATGAATTGAATACTGACATTAAATGCAATATTTAATTTTTTTAATGAATTTATTTCAGGATATGCAACAAATGGTCCGTACTTTGGTGCTCTGATCGGGCGCTATGCTAACAGAATAGCAAATGGCCGTTTTACTATTGATGGAAAAACATACCAGTTAGACATAAATAATAGTCCGAATGCCCTTCATGGAGGAAAAGTTGGATTTGATAAGGTAAGAGAAACTTGCGGCTTTTATCGTTTTTTATTATTGGAAAGAAAAATATATAAAGATTGGAAATCTGAAGATATTTTACGACTAATAAACATTCTACTAATTACTTTTTCTTGTTCAAATTAACCAAGTAAGATTCTCCCTTTTAGTCACAATAATGATTTATTTATAGCGATTATGGAGTTCGGAGATCGACGGTGACGTCCTACAGCTGACCTACGTCAGCGCTGATGGAGAGGAGAAATACCCAGGAGAGGTCAAGGTCACCGTCCGTTACCAGCTGACCAATGACAATGAACTGGTCATTCAGTATTCAGCAACCACATCAGCAAAAACTGTCATAAATCTTACAAACCACGCCTACTTTAATTTGGCTGGACAGGTAATTGCAAAACGCAGTAATTCTAATTCTGCGTGGGTGGGTCGAGGGGGGGGGGTTATTTGCAGCCAATTAAATTAAAACAGTTAAAACAATGTGAACATTCTAAGGAGACAATGGACAAGTACCGTGAAGAACGTATGCATTGTTCAAAATTACAGGGGTAACTGCTTGAAAAATAGCGGTACATTTCATCATATATGCGAAGATGTAATATTATAATGTTAATTAAAGAGTTTAGTATATCTACTGTACTCACACTATGTTTAAATAATTACAAAAATTATACGTTAATGTACCGTAGAAATTTTTGCGAAATCTTATTTTTGCAAGATAGATATTGATTCTTGATAAGCGAAACAAAAATTTGACGTATTGGGTCATTGCTCTATATAATCCTAAGGAATACTATTATACGCGAGAATTTAATTTTCGGGAGCACACTGTCTCGCTTAATTACGCGATAATTAAGTTTTTGCGAATAAATAATTGTTGACTTACAGTACAGTTTACGTGCTGGAATGAATAGGTCTCTTTTTAAAATGGTAATTTACCGGGAATTCTATGGTTCACATGTATTTTACACAACCTGAAAACATACTCTCTTACAATGATCAATAAATTCATAGAATTTTCTATAAATCTAGCTATATGACTCCTCGTTGCATGCTAATATTAAGCTAATGTTTCGAGAAAAGGCGCAGGTAGCTCTAGATGATTTTTCTATGACCCTCTTGTTTACGAAATCTAGTACCTAAAATGTAAAGATCTGTCCCATGACTATAGATACTACATGCACTGACTTTTGACTTTCGAAGTGTGAATGATCTACGAGATGTTTTGTAGGAAATCCAACACCCAATACCCCTCTCAATACAGTTCTACAATAAAACATGGGAATTACGTAAATTGTACGTTATGATTTGCTACATGTATTCACGGGACATTCAAAGATTTTTACGCAACTTTTTATTTGAAAAATTATGGAGAGTCATGACAACTTAATGGGGGAACAACAATTACTGGCAAATTGGCTTTAATATACCAGGGAAAATAATTATATGCTGCTATTATTTCGGGTTGAAACATGGTGAATTGAGATAATTTCATATGCTTTGTCTGTACTTACATGTAAATGAATCTTAACAGGATTTTTTCCCTCACTAAAACTTGCTTTATCATGCTACTTTTAAGGGTTCTGGGAACATTTTTGGCCACAATGTGACTATAATGGCTGATCAATATACACCGGTGGATTCCACATCCATTCCTACTGGTAAAAGAAAAAAACTGCACTTGTGTTCATAAACATAATTTTATAAAATTCTCAATCTAGATAAATTATAGATTATCTAGATAAATCCAATATTATATTATGCGCAGCTCGTTTGAAACCCGATTGAATATCCGAATACGCTATTTCGTAATTTTCTTCACATAGATTTTGGCGCTGAAATAAACACTGTAATTATATTTATTAACAGGAGTAATAGAGAATGTAGATGGAACAGCTTGGGACTTGCGCACCAAAAAGAATCTGGGAGAAATGATTCCAACAGTTCCCGGTGATGTGGGTTACGATCATAACTACTGCTTCGGAAAAACTGGGTGGCGGAAGTACATGGCCAGGTATGAGTAGATTAAAATGTATTGTTGTGGAAAGAATAGAAATGCGTCTTGATCGTATAGTGGTTTATTTTAGACTCTGTTATTAACTATAGAAACATAACGTACAGTATTGTGACGTAACAATAACGTTAACGTACGTTACATAAACCCGCGGATAATTTTAATGAATCATTAGAATATTAGAAAGTTCAAATCAAATTAACAGTTTGGAAATTAAACAAGTTAATAATCACTTAATTAAGAGGTCCATTCACGATAATTTGGCTTTTGTTTTTGACACTCGATTAAAATATATTAAGTTCGTTCTCATTCACTTCGATTGGATATAGTTTCACAATTGGTCTGTTGGTAAGTCCATTTTTGGTCCGTAAAGTGGCAGCTCTAAGTTCTTTTGTATGAGTTCCTCGGAGTGTTTGTGACGTAGTTCTGTGTTAGATTTCTCCAACTCCATGTTTCGAGTCCGTAGATTGGCATTTTGTTTATTATCTCTGCCATGTCCCTGAGATTCTTTTTCTGTGAATTTTCTTTTTCCTTCTCCTCAGTCTCTGTACGTTTTTCTGTCATCTGAGTTTCTTCCCTTCGTGTGTCATCACGGATCCTTACGGAAAACATCTTTCTCTCTTCCACGGGATCCTGTAGGTTTGTAATTGATTTTCAAGTGTTTGTACTTTGATATTTAGCTCACTTATTTGCCTTTGGGCGTAATCATATCGTGACTGAAGACTGATGTTTTTAGCATTAAGATGCTCCAAGTGAGTGCTGTAGGTTTTGATATTAACAACCTGGTCCTTTAATTCCTGAACCTCGTTATGCAAGTGTCCGTTTTCGTGCGCAAGTTTATTCATCTGTTCCATCATATCCTTCATCCCATTCTCCACACGAGTCTGAAAATTTCTTTGTTGGTCGAATTGTAACAATTTCTCTAGCAGGGTACCATTTTCTCCTTCCAATGCGTTCATCCTCTGTCTTAGTCTTCAGCTCTGACTTAAGTTGCTGTATCTCGTTAGTGAGCTTGCTACGTTCTTGAATGGAGTCCACAGTCCGACTCATCGGAGTGGAAGCTGATTTCCATAAAACACTTTTATGTCGTTGTTCAACGTTTATTTCTGTGGTATTTGGTTTGCTCGTTCCTACAATGTTGACAATTGTTGATTTGGTGGATTTTTCGTTAGTTTCATGTCGCATATATTGTGTTGCTTCTTCTGGCACTTTTTACATCTGTTGCGGGATTTACAATCTGCGGCGTGGTGGTTTCCTAAGCAGTTGAAACATAATTTTTCCGTTAACAGTCGAATCTTGCTACTTATGTACTTTCTTACAGTCCCCTGGGAAGATTTTTACAACAATAAATGCATTCTTTATCTCTGTTGTTTCGACATAAGGAGTTGACTCTTTTGTTTTCTGGTTGTGTCCATAATGAACATGGCGTTGTTTCTTTGAGGCTCCGGTAAGAAACATTGCTGTTGCGTGGAATCGATCGCTGTTTTCAATCTGGCCTGATTCAAGGATTTTGACTTCCTTGCTGATAGCTTTACGAAGATTGTGTAGTGAAATGTTGTCACCATCGTACTCACGTGCAATGTTTTTCCTGATTTCAGCTGGTAGCTTGTTCATTATGACTGGAATAAGTAAAGCTCCGTACATCTCTTGTTTTTGTCCTAGACACTCTAAACTCCTGACATGAGATTCCAAGCAGTCTCCATAATTTCTTAAACTGATGGCGTCGTTTTCGGGGCTTGCAGTTCCATAAGTGCTCTCATGTGACCATTGATGATTTTTTGTGGTTGACCAAATCGTTCCTTGAGCAGGTCTATGGCGGTTTCGTAATTTGCGTTTGTGAGAGTAAATCCTGCAATGGTTTGTGCTGCTGCGTCCTGTAATTGAGCCTTGAGATACGAAAACTTTTGAATTGGTGTTAAAGTTTGGTTGCGGTGAATTGTTGATTCAAATGAATCCCAAAACGTATTCCATTGTAGTATATCCCCGTCAAAATGTGGAAGATTTAGTTTCGGTAGTCGATGATTATTTGTGACCTGGTTGGATGGTAATGACAAAAAAATTTTCTGCCAATCGTGGTTACTTTGTTCATCGAGATCAGTGGCACTGGCAGGAAAATTGTTCAGAATATTCTCACAAGCCGTTTCACTTGAATTAATTGCAGCTGATGTGTTTACATTACTATCATGAATTTCTAAGGCGGGTACAAAACACTCAACACTGGCATTCAAAGTTTTACATGAAACTTTTTCTGTAAATGTTTCTATTTTCTTAATTTTGCAATCGAATTCGTACATATACTCATCTGTGTTTGTGATTTCTTCTTCTATGTCCTCTTCAGATAATGCGTCTAATATGCGTTCATTTAGTTCTTGTAAAGTTTGTCTTTTTTGCATTAGGGACTTTCTGATTATTTCGATTTCCTCCGTTACTTCACTGGCTGTATTTTCTTTCAGGTCCAAAAATCGTCCGAAAAGTTTCGTCACCGCTGATCTGTTACCGGCCCGTATGGCTTTTAGTCTTCCTTCCATTTTACGTATATTATGTAAACATTCCGTCGATCACGGCACCAAAATTGTTGTAGAAATGCGTCTTGATCGTATAGTGGTTTATTTTAGACTCTGTTATTAACTATAGAAACATAACGTACAGTATTGTGACGTAACAATAACGTTAACGTACGTTACATAAACCCGCGGATAATCCGTGACATGTATGTTCCAGATTAGACGCAGGGGACATATCAAAGTTTTGAAAGTAGGGAGGGAGGTTGCCAGCCAGAGGAAAAAAAATTACCTGAAAAAATCGACAAGCAAATAGAAGTTTAAACTTGAAAATCCTATTTCCGGGGGGGGGGGGGGGGGGGGGGGGGGGTGGAGTGAATTGAATCTCTTTCAATAACATCATACATCACCCCTATTTGTCTATTGTTATGTTGTAAATTTTGCCACCCGATAAATTCAAATCTTACAGACTTACAACATGGCACTATACTGAAACCGGGGGGGGGGGGGGGGGGGGGTCAATGAACAAAGGCATTTAACAACTTCTTTTTTTTTTCTTTTAAAGAGTGGAACATCCGAACACGGGTCGGTATCTGGAAATGTACAGCACTGAACCAGGTGTTCAGTTTTATACGGCATTCTACCTAAACGAAACTGGAAAGGGCGGGGCCAAATACGGGAAATTTGATGCCTTTTGCCTCGAAGCCCAGCATTATCCAGATAGTCCAAACAAAGTAGGTTTCAGTGGCTACATTTCAGATATAATTTCGAGAGAGATTAACTCTGTTGCACATGTTCAAATGGTTTCTTTTCATAAATATTTGTTATTATTATTTTTTTTATTTTCAGCCAAATTTCCCCACAACATTACTAGCTCCATCGGAGACGTATCTACAAACCACGACATACAAATTTGGTGTCATGTGATCTCATAACTTGATATTTTTTCTCATCATTCCTTTCTTTTGTACTACATTTACATATTATACCATGATTTGATTGATTATAAGTCAATAAATTAATTCCATGATCTTCATTGCGTTTTTAGGAATCTTTTTAATAGGTGGCATCTTATGCTCACATCCACTGAATTTTTTTTCTCATGGAAATCGGATATTTATCGTGTCCATCGAAGGCAAGGAACTATTAATTTATTTCTAAACTATAGTTTATTTCAATTGAATCAAGAATTGATTATCGGAAATTGAATGTACAGTAACTACAAACACATGAATGATAAAAGTAAAAGATAAAATCACACATGGGTATCCAACAATGGAGGGCTCAGCTAGTGGTCATGCATGACTATATAATTCATGTATAGCTGTTGACCTCCTGAAATGGAAATAAAAGATTGCGGTCGTGAGAAGAGTGCTAAATGATGAGTGACAATCCCCAAGGATCCACCGCTGTAATTTATTAAGGAATAACTGTCTTATTTTTCGAATTCATGAAGTGATCAATGGATTGGCTTGTGTGTTAATTTTATTCATAAAAGCCATCGGCGTTTATGCAAATTATAACACAAGCCAATCCATTGATCATCTTCATATGATAACATATCCAAGCCTGCTTCTCTCAACGTGGTTTTTTTTTTTAAACAGGAAATCAATTACACTTACTGGAAATGTATTTTTGTAAATATGATAACATATCAATAAACAGGTCCACTTACTAGTATTTTTGAGTGGCTACTGAACTGGACTTAAAACGAGATAAAATTGTATGCTTATTAAAAGCTTGACTTTGTTTATGTGCTGTTCGATTAAGGTAAGTAACGATTAGGGCCTAACATAGGGGCTTGGCATCAGGATGGTGTATTTTGTGTATTATGTGTTTTTCTAGGTGTGTCTGAATACCCTCATTAAAATAAAAATTCGCTGAAATTAGCACGTTCTAAAAATGTCATATTTACAGTATATAGTTAAAAAGAGTAAAGGAGCACCACTTGCCATCTTCGATTTGAGGTGGTGCCTCGGTTCACACTTGATTTAAATCAATATCTACTTATTTCCTACCGGTGTTGGGTGAGATCTAGCTTAAAAAATGATTGAATAATGCCTTTCAAACGTCTGCCGATTTGAACTTGCCATATAAAACATGCAGTTATACGAGTAAACCCAAAACGTCCTCTATACGAAGTACAGAAATTGAAAGCAACAGAAGTGTCGATTTCTAACGATGAAAAATCTAGAGGCGTCCCGGAATAACATGGAAAATCTAGAGAGAACAAGTTTGGCGCGGTATCTGACCTCTAGATTTTCACACGCCGTGTGCTCCTTGTCTTGATCGGGAAATAATGCGATGGAAAAAATCCATGGAAACTCAGTTTGTAACTAATGGTCTAACAATTAACGATTAATTGTATTTACTGACAAGGACATTATATCGACCATTGAATTCACGAAATGAGGACTTAAAACAAGATATTCCTGCTCCATCAACTTGTTTGTCAATAACTTACATGTACCTTGTCTTACAAATTGAATAGAAATCAGGCATAGAACATACTCTGCCGTATCGAATCAGCTGAGAGATACATACCCCGTATGCAGAGAACAAATTTCGGCTGGGGCTGCCTGGCTAGGAGGCGCGTCCCCCGCGTGGCGGATAGGGGAGCCCTCACTAGAGGGGTGCACCGGATAGACTAAAGAAGGTGCCGTGGACCAACGCACCGTAAGGGAAAGACACCCTGACAGAAAACCACCGGTCCTACAAGACTTGGGGTTGGGCAGGAGCCCGACTACCTCCTCTCGGAAAAAAAATCACAGTTACAGAAACAGTGGACATAGAGAGCAAAGAAGATATTGTGAAGTGGGGACAGCAATAATGGCAGTAAGATAACAAGGGGTGAAAGTCTTAGGGAAGCCCAGCGTCCGACTAGAGCCCTTGTGACACCCAAACAAACATTCATCATCGAACACTGGAACGTGAAAACAATGTATAGAGGAGGAGCTTCAGCACAGATTGCCAGAGAAATGGAAGGATACCAGCTGGACATTTTGGGAATCGCCGAGTGCAGATGGACAGGAGCTGGGAAGATGAGACTGGCCTCAGATGAGACCGTCATATAAAGCGGGGATGAAGAACTGCATGAGGGAGGAGTTGCCATAATGATCAGCCAGCAGGCAATGAAGTCACTCAAGGAATGGACACCTGTCAGTAAGAGAATCATGACAGCACGATTCTATTCAAGATGCAGGAGAGTGTCAGTGATCCAAGCATATGCGCCAAATAATGAAGAGGAGGAGAAAGACAAATTCTATCAGGAGTTACAAGAGACCCTGGATGGATGTAATAAGAACGAAATCATTATTATCATGGGGGATCTCAACGCCAAGGTAGGGGGGCGGAGTGAAATAATGGATATGAAAGAACTATGGGTATCCATGGACTGGGAACACAGAATGAAAATGGAGAAAGACTGTGAATTTAGTCAGACCAACGGACTAGTAATCACAGGAACACTATTTCCCCACAAAGATATACACAAAGCAACATGGGTGTCTGCTACTGGAACAGCGAGAAACCCGATTGACCATCTTCTCATCAGTGGACAGTGGAGATCTTCTGTTCTTGACACCAAGGTGCAGAGGGGAGCGAATGCCAACAACAACCACTACCTGGTGAAGACTCGAATCAGGCTACGGCTCAGCACACACAAGAATAAGAACAAGTTAAAGCCAAGATTGGATGTAGAAGTAAGAACGCCTCAAAAACAACGAAGTAAAAGCAAAGTTCAATTTCCGTGGGAGAAAGGGGTTAGAAGAGCACATGGAAAAGACGGAAGATATCGAGAAAATCTGGGAACAGCAGAAGATGGCATATGTGAATGCAGCAGAGGAAGTACTTGGCTACAGGAAAGGCAAAAGTAAACCTTGGATCAGCGAAAACACCTGGAAGTTGATAGAGGAAAGAAAAGTCATCAAGACAAAGATAGATACTAGTAGTACAAGATCAGAACGAGTCAAGACAAGGATGAAGGAAAATTATAGGGAGAAAGACAAAGCAGTCAAGAAAAATGCGAGAGAGGACAAGAGGAGATGGATGGCAGAGAAAGCTGAGCGAGCACAGAAAGCAGCCAAGAACGGGAGGCAGAAGGAACTGTACAGCATAGTTAAACAGTTGACAAGAAAAAGTAATATACAAATAGCAGCGGTGACGAACAAAGATAGAAAACTGCTGAAAAAACAAAGAAGCGAGGCTTGCCAGTCTGGCGGAATCAAAGCATGTAAATATAAGGAATAACTGTCAGATTTTTCAATTTCATGACGATGATCAATCGATTGGCTTCCGTGATAATTTTATGCATAAACGCAAGCCAATCGATTGATCACATCATGAAATCGAAAAATAAGACAGTTATCTGGTCTAAAAAAAAAAAGGTCTTTACCATGTTTACTCTGATGTCTCTTATTTGGTGGGGCAATAGGGCAAGGTCATGAGCAAAGTCCAGGTCTTCTAAAAACTATGATCAATAAATAGCTCCCAGCCTCCCTGCTATCAGTAACATTTGATCTGGGTTAATTTTATAAATAATCGTTACCCTTTAGCAAATTTCATACAGTGTCAATTTTTGAAGGCTACTTTCCCTACGAGTAATGATATGATGTTGTATCTTGGACCTTGAACGCTTTAACAAACGTAAACAAATATTGTTTCATAGATGAAAACTGAAAATTTCAAAATTGAAAATATTACATGTAGTTACAATAGATGAACTTATCTTATTAACTGGAATACACGTAAGTCTACTCACGACATCTCTTGAAATTCAGGTCAAGTATTCCGAAACTTTTCTTTCCACGTGAATCATTCCGGTAAATTTTTAAACGTACAATTTCCTCTTCTGTTTTCGCAAAAGTGTTATTTGGTTTTGCTTTGTAGAAGTTGTTTGTACGTGTAAGTTTTTTTAGTCGTTTAATGACACGGGGTTGTAAGTATGGGAATATGAACAGGTGTGCATTTACGTTGTACTTTTGCTTGTAAAAGTACAATCTTATAATTTTTGTTGTTGTTGTTCAGCATTGTCCGTCGAACGAATTTTGCTTCTTGTTTGGTGAGATGTAACCGTTATGTTTATGTTAAGAAAACTACTATAATATACTGTAGCTGATTTTTTGAATGCTGTTATACAGAATGGCCGAGTCGACTATCCATTCAAACGAATTTAAAAAAAAAGGGGGGGGGCTTAACACCAGATCAGCATGCTGCAGCAGATTAATGATAACATATGACCAGTCTAAACGAACTCCTGAAAAGGAGTTATCAACAGTTAGAAATTGAGGCTAAAATAATGTGGAAAATAAATATGTGCTTAGGCACAAACACAAAAAAAATGTTGATTTAGGGGAAAAATTATGAATCTGCAAAAATGCCTACACGCACAAAATGCTACAAAAATGGTAGGATAAGAGTATATTTATTAAATTTAAGATTCTATTTGTGACTTAAATTACTTTCTCAGTTGACATTTCAAGCATTTCAAGCATTCTTATTAGAGTAAAAAATCAAACTTTCAACATATTTTAAAGAAGCATAATAAAAAGGAGATATATGAAAAATAGAACAACATGTGTTGCATCTGTTATAAGCTTCTCCATCTTTTACTTTTTAAAGTATCTGGTTAAATTGGAGGATAGGGTATAGGTAATAAGAATTTACCATGGAAATATATAAATTGAAAAGCAGAGTATTAAATCGTAAGGATTGCAATTTTTCCTTTCTCCTTTCTTGCTTTACTTTGTATTTTTTTCTGTTGTTGTTCAATGTTGTTCAAGATGTGGATCATGGGTTAGGGTTGGACTAAAATTGGAAATTAATTTAGTTAACAAAATGCATATACGGTACATGAAAAGGCATGAAAAAAAAGAACAGATAAAAAAAAAAGAAAAGAAATATATGTTTAAAAATCTTCCCCAGAGGAGTAAAGCCAAGTACCAGTAAGTCATCTGGATATACTTAATGTTATGTAGATTAAATCTATAAACCCTCAAGGCAAGACTGGTACCACAATATTAAAAAAAATATATTTCAAAATTAGCGGGTAAAATCTTATAATAATAATCTTCTGAAGTCAGCAGAAAGCAAACGATTCAGGTGAATATGGTGGCCCATGGGCCTCTGCTGTGTGTATGGTCACTGTATCATGATTATTTTTTGTTTGTTTGCTTTGAATAGAAGACTGTTAACTAACAAACATCTACCATGATCACAAGTTCTCCATTTGGGACCTATGATGGGAAAGAAGTCATACAGTAAGTGATATTTGATTTAAAAAAAAATAATTCATGTAAAATGCACCAATAATGTTTTTAAACTTGGTTATATTTTCCTCTCTCTTATCTAAATTAAAATTACACTGATATAAACAGGAGAATGTCTATAAATTTACAGTTTAAAGCAGTGGAGAACAAAAATTTAATTGTCATGTACATTTGCATTATACACAGTTCATGAAAAGTTTGTCATGCTAATAAATACCAAATTGCTTATTCACAAAAATAAGGTGTCATGAAAATACTAGTAAAGTGATCTACAGTATACCATGTAAGTGGAAATTTTATTGAGACAAAGAACTATATGCCGTATTAACCAACATTTGCCCCCCAAAATCAAACTTTGATGGAGTAACATTTAATTAAGTCCTTAAACAGGGGAGTATATGCTGACTTCAACGCACTGAAGAATTTCATAAGTAATGACGTCATATGTACGTAATGACGTCACAAATATGACGTAATTTCAGTTTTTTATGAATTTTGCAGAAAAATGTACATATTTCGTCGATATTTTAAATAAAAGTCACCGAGCGCATGTGTGTTCAGGATAAATATTTTGATATAATGGGTAGAATGATAATATCAATGGAATATGTCAATACTGTTCCTGAACACACATGCGCTCTATAAATTTTAAAGCTTAAATTGTTGAAATTTTGTCCATTTTGTCCTCTTTCTGAAAAAGGATATAAAATCGGACTAGTTTGTGACGTCATAAAAACAGAAATTGTGAATACACTTCTCTGGAACTATAATATTTTCTGTTAACTTATATTTCTCGTACAATTTATTGAATTCAGCACATTTCATGAAGTTTTCAAAATTTGACTTTTGTGGGGGCAAACATATGCAATATACCGCATATAGTTCTTTAGCGATTTGTCCTTAAAAACTGGTAATTTATTTTTAGCGAGATGTTATTTAAGCGATTTTAAAAAGCACATTAAAGAAACTATTACATGTAAAACGCAATTAATTTTTAGCGATATTCAATTTTAACGATCTCGACACCCTCGGTAATAATGCCAAAATTAAATCCTCGCTAAAAATTCTACTTATACGGTATATGCAAATTTAAGTGTTGTTTGATGGGGATCACACTTCACTGGGTTTAGTCCCTTATAAGGAAATATGTTTAGTTATACATGTAATAGCATTAGTCTTTTTAGACAAATTATTTTTGCTAACAAGGTCATTACAACAACCATAAAATTTTGAATTGCAGACCTTAAACAAGGTTGTTGAAACCCTTGTAACATCAACTTTTCAGTACGTAGCAAGCCTTGTTTTAAAAATTAATTGTACTCAGAGCAAACTCTCAGGTAAAGAATAAGTTGGGAGATATAGACACCATAAACAGGTGATAGTGGAATATTAATTCATAAAAAGAAGGGAAGTTGTTGTTGGAAAATCTGAATCGAATTCATTGTGTTTGTCAGAATTTTTGTTCTTATGAGTAAACTTTATTTGGAATTATTTGGATATTAAACTAGAATGACAATTTATGTAGGGACTTTCTTTTATCAAATGTGTGCAGATATACCCTAAAGAACAGTCAAGGCACAGAAATACAAATCCTAAATTTTGGAGGAATCATCAAAACGATTTTGGTACCAGATAAAAATGGAAAGATGGAAGACATTTGTCTTGGTTATGATGACATGAAAGGTGTGTTTGAAAATTTCTTCCTGTGTCCTGTTTTTTGTAAAGGAAGAGACCTCTAGTTGGAAAAAAAGACAATTGATTAAAAAATGTTGGATAAACAAATTATTGGTCTATATACATGTACAATTAAAAATAATTGCTTTGTGATTTTAGTGGTAGAACTGTTTTAAGATGAAGATTTTTTCTTTTAATCTGGAAACACAGAAACTAAAAAATGTTTAAGAAAATTTTCTATAATTTACCATTGGAAAAAGAAGTGAAAATATGTATGTCTAAACTCTAAAAATGTTGTTTCTTTGCCTAGGGTATGAGACAAATCCCTTTTACTTGGGTACTCTGTGTGGACGCTTTGCCAACAGGATTGCAAATGCCTCTTTTATTATTGATGGGAAAACATATGAATTAGACAAAAATGATGGTCAGAATTCGTTACATGGAGGAAAAGGTGGTTTCCATAAAGTAAAGTACTTTTGATATTTACATTCAATTTACTACATATAGTTGAAACCCATATTTTATTGAAAGAATTTGCTACATAAAGGTCAAAGCCAAATTTGAAGGAATGACTGTTTTGGGGTGCCATGCTGTTTTGTCTTTTTTAAAATCTTGAAGAATTAGATATACATTTTTTTTAAATTTGAATTTCTAAACTCCATGATTGCTGTTTAAAATGATTTGGTCATAACAAGCAGTTATAATGCTTTCTTGCAGAAAGTATGGACTCCAGAGATTGACGGTGACGTCCTGAAATTGACCTACGTCAGCCCTGACGGGGAGGATAAATTCCCTGGGGAACTCAAGGTCACTCTCTGTTACCAGCTGACCGATGACAATGAATTGGTCATGCAGTACTCAGCAACTACATCAGCAAAAACTGTCATCAATCTGACAAACCACGCCTACTTTAATTTGGCTGGACAGGTAATCGGTTTGTGATGAATGTATGCAGATTCGTCTGAGTACTACAATGCACTATGAAAATTCAGCACAATACAAGGTATTAAACTTTTTCCTTTTACAGTTTTGATTTTTTGCAATGGACTTCTTGTTTTTTAGGGTGCTGAGAACATCTTTGACCATGATGTGACCATAAAAGCTGATCAGTATACACCACAAGATTCCACTTACATTCCAACAGGTAATGTAAAGAGATAGATAGTGAGAATACATGTATATCAAATTTGTGAAGCTTTTTTTTTTTTTACATCAAACCATAAAACATATTGATGTACACTTACTGAAAAACTCCATACAGTATAAATCTCATCTGTTATTTGTCATTAACAGGAGCCATAGAAAGTGTAGAGGGTACACCCTTTGACTTACGCACAGCTAAAAATATTGGGCAGATGATTCCACGAGTTCCAGGAAATGTTGGCTATGCTCATAACTATTGCTTTGGGACAACTGGCGATAAAAAATTCATGGCAAGGTGTGAGCTTTTTTTTGCTTTCATTGAGCATCAGCTTTTCAGATTACCTTTCAAAAAAAAAATGTGTGAACATCATTTCCGATTTTTTTTTTAATTCTCTTTTTATCTTTCCTAGAGTAGAGCATCCTGCCTCTGGTCGATATTTAGAGGTGTACAGCACTGAACCAGGACTTGTGTTTTATACCTCATACTATTTAAATGAAACAGGAAAGGGCGGGGCCAAGTACCAGAAATACGGAGCCTTTTGTCTGGAAGCTGCACATTACCCGGATAGCCCAAACAAAGTGAGTTTCAGCTTAACTTAAGCTGAATTGAGGTCTATTGATTATAATTCATCATTTTTATCCCCCCTAGGTGGGGGAGTATGGCCTGTGTTTAATTATACCCCCTGCTTGAAAAGTGGGAGGGTATATAGTAATCGGTATTTCCGTCTGTCCGCCTGTAACGCTTTGGGGTACCCATCTCTTATCCGCAACTCCTCTCATACCACTGAAGGAAATTTAATGAAACTTTCACAGAATCTTTATTACATATTGCCATTGTGCACCTCCTATTTTACTTTTTGATCTGACATATATTTTTGATTTTCCAGAGCAAAACATGGATACTGCCATATGGGAGGGGGGGGTATCATTTAGTGAGCTCATTGCTCACAGTACCTCTAGTTATGAAATAATACAATTATGATGATTTATTAATTAATATTTTTATTTCTATTTTTAGCCAAATTTTCCTTCAACATTACTTGATCCCTCTGAGACTTATCAACAAACTACTTCATACAAATTTGGAGTAATGTGATTCATATTTTGTCAGCAATATTCTACATGTATATCTGTGTATTACTTCCTGGGTATTTGTACTTTATATATTTTGTAGAACAAATTTAGCAATAATGAAAATACTGCCTTTTGTACAGAACTTCAAGCATTGTGACAAAAAAATCTCTGTAATCAGAGATGTATATATGATATACATTATATCAATTTTTTGTTTGGAAGTTTACACTATGGTCCAAAGTTATCATTGTGACACAAACTCCGCTGCTGGCAGCCAAGTTTTCAATATGTGAATAAGAATGTGAAAATAAAAGGGCACAAAATAAAACATCATTTTGCTGCTTTTATTTTGTCTAATACAATAAATGCTACAACAGACTTCAGCTGTGTATCAGTTGTTTTGCTTGGATTTGATTCTATGATCCAAAGTAATCAGTGTAAGCCCCTTCCCATAGCCACTGCGTGGACTGACAGAATGCAAATTACCGGTAAATGACATCTATGTAGGAACACAACACACAACATCAAGTTCCCACAGCAAGACTTGAACCAGTGGATATAACTTTTTTGTCAACCGCTTTCAGTGGAGGGACATTTAATCTCAATTGTCTATCCATCCGTTAATCAGTCTGTCTGTCTCAAAAATTTTAACCTCATTCATTATTTTTGAATGAGAAGAGATAAGACTTTCATAGTTTTTTTTTAGATACATTTAGAATTTATGATATTTGACATGCTAGGACCATTTTTGAAACACACTATGCAGCTGATTTTCCATTCCGAGGTCTAATCTTTTCTTCTAACATGACTCTACATGTACTAGATCTCTTCCAATTGAAGTTACTTAAACTTGTTTATTCAAATTACTACCTGGCTATTTCTTGAGGGGTCCATTCCCCTTTTCGATTCTATCTGATTGATACTGAATTCTTATATGTCATCTGTATTATCTACAACTCGGCAGATTTTATCGCTGCCAAAATTTCAAAGGTGCTAAGAAGTTACTACAGTCAAACTTCGTTATCTCACACTCAACGGGACCAAGAAAAAAACATTGAGATATTCGACGATTCAAGATATCAAGGGTAAAATCTTAAAGATTAAGTGTTTGGGACTTCAAAAGCACTTCCACTATCCACGGTATTCGACATATCGGTGTTCGAGATACTGAAGTTCAACTATATTTAGAATAAACAGTAATAATTTAAAAAACCCACATTTTTAGCATCTTTATTTATTGTACAAACTAGATACAAATGTGAAATATTTTTTACTCACATTTGAGGACTAAAAGGCATGTCAAAAATTGCCCAAATCCTTCCTGTATAATTACTTCATAAAAACACATCAAATGCTCTGTAAAAATGCTGTTTTTGCTTAAGATTAAAAAAAAATCCAGCAAATTCAAAACATCTAGATAAATAATATGATTGCTCCAGTTTAACTGATAATAAATAAAAAATAAATGAACATTTTCTTTGTTGGAAACATTACTGTCACTAAATAATTTTGTGAATGAATATTGCAGAATGCCTAAAATGGAATTATTCATTTTATGTAACTACAGTGCATATCCATGTACATGTATTGATAATGACTTTTTCTTAAAGACCCTTTACTGTTTTAAAACTATTTTAAACTACAGATTCACCAACGAGGAAGTCTAAATCTTACAAATAAATGTAAGATGTCACTGATTGAAAGTTTGGTTCATTAAAACTTTTCATTTAAATCCCAGACTTTGAGCCATTTGAGTATTATTCATTAGAAATATGAACCTGGTAAAATATATAAACTTAAGATGGAATCCCACCCCCCTTCCCCTAGAAAATGTGTTTTAATAATTCGTAAAACATCATCTTTAGAAGTGACCCAATCCAACCAATTACTCAGCCATCTATTAACACTTTGAAAAAGAAAAAAAAGAATTTAAAAAGATGCTATGAAAATTCTACATTATTGTAAATCGTATGGAATGTACACAGGCACCTGACGTTACTTATTTTTCTTTTAATAAAAGAAATATACCTTTACCTATAATAAAACCTTGGTTTATTATAAGGTAAGGGTATATTTTTTTTATTAAAAGAAAAATAAGTAACGTTAGGTGCCTCTGGGAATGTATTATACATATATTAAGCTTCAAAGAAAAGCAAGTCAAAATGTGTTGTGTCAATCATAATGCCCAAAGACATGAACGAAAACAAGCAGTCAAATACCTTAATGTTAAGGACCCTCTCTACACCAGTGCAAGAATTTTTTGGACATTGAGAAAAATATACTGTATAAAGGAGTTAATATTGAGCTTATTTATCTAATTTTTACTGTATGGTGCATGGCATTTAACCCCAGGAAAAATGTTCAAAGACAACACAGTATCGGTGAATAGAAATCACTGTTAATTACTTCAGTGGAGAAAATACATGTGAATAACACGTTCAGTTAATTTGTCTTGGCCTTTTAAAATATAAAGAATACTTAAATTTAATAAAAATTAAGTAATACATTGTAAATATATTTTTTTAGAATTTAGATCTAAGGGCAGATCACTCTAACTGCAGAAAAATACCTTAGAATCAGAATTCTTTAGTGTGCAGTGTAGAGAGGTTTCTTAATTAATAAAATTTGGGTTAGTATTTTATAATCCTTACCAAACTTGAAAAAAACATTAAAAAAAATAACTCTGATATTAAAAAACCCTTACATAATAAAATATACAGAGCAATAATTCAACAGCTATATTAAATATTCAACAAGTCCGTTAAACAATATGATTCAAACTATCACATCCAAACTATAATTGGATATTCAACTTCTCCCCTTCCAAAATAAAAGAGTTGACATCAATTTTTTTTCATTTCATAACTGGAACTGACATTCTTTAAAATTATGAATATGTATAACGTTGGTAGATATATGCTATAACAAAATGTCAAGGTAAAATTTATTTCTCAATTCATAAAATTTGCAGTTTAAAGTATAACTATTAATCACTGCATGCTTTTACACTGAAAGTGAAACTTTGGCTACTTTTGCCCATAATACTTGCATAAAAATATACATACAACAAATTTAGATGTAATATCAGTATACTGACCAAATATCAACTTCTGATGCATATACATGACATGTATCATACAAGAATACATAATTAGGCACTTTTTAAGTAAACAATGTGATTATTATTAATTTTATTATTATGTAAGTTTGAATATGGTGTAAAAAATAACAACCTTTATAAAATTGACAACAATCTACATGTAAGCTTAACTTTCACCCTTGAACATCTGACCAACAAAACGTTTTTCATAATAATGGTCGAAAGATAATTAAATGGTACCGATGGGTTCAAAGCATGACCATTCATATATGATACATAAGTGATAAAAAAAAAAATGATAGTAAAAATAATTTTGAAATAGTTTTCTAGATGAGACAAGCAAATGTTAACTCCACAACTGCTAAAAATTTTATGATGTTTCAATGCAAGAGTCATAAATACAATTTCAGTTATACATGTATTCTTTCCTGCTTGCTTGGTTTTAGTTTACATAGAATACACTGATCATGAAATGCATACTGCATTAAAAATATGAATGCAAGTTTAAGGACATACGCAAGGTACCTTACTTACTGATAATTTTTCAAGATATTCTGAATTTAAACTTATAATACCATAACATGTTCTTCGACAAAAAATCAGCATGTGTTACCAGGGGTTTTGAAAAGATATCAAATTTTGAAAATTTTTGCATTTATCAAAGAAAAATGTACAAAAATTACAAAAATTCCAGATTTTTTTTCATCAAAATTTGTTTTAGAAGAGGTGTACAAATCCATATATAGACATTAAAAGTATTGCACACAGGTCCTTCATTTAGTGGAACTCTTCAACTCCAGGGAAGAACCCAATAAAGTTCAAACTACGTTGCATATGACCTTAATATGATTTTTAATGACCAAAAATATCTTGATTACATAATATTAAAACATATGTAGAATATGAAATTTTTGATGAATGTATATGTGAAAAAGTCAAAAAATTATGGACACAGATTGAGTCAAGGGGGATTGTACTGTATTTGAATGTACAAATGATTAAAAAATTTTGAAGACTGTTTCCAAATCAGAAACCTTTTTTTGTATATATACATGTATAAATAACTGATGTCTACAATGGATTTGTGTACAACAGTTTATGGCACATCAACTGGCAAATACTTCATTTCTTAAAAAATAAAATATCTTTTTCACAATTTTCAAGATGTAAATGTTAAAATTGACAAATAAAACATTTATATATATTTATATATGATCAACAAATCATTAATTATACATTTACATATGTCCAATCATTACATGATAGAATATACATGTATATCTTAAAAGTGTACAAGTAACATTAGGAATGGTCTTTGAGAATATACATGTAATATAATTAACAATTTATAAACATCTTTTATTTAAAACACCTCCACAAAAGTCAGAACTCATTTAAGGCATATGTACCCAAGAAGGGAAAAAAATATTTCAAAGCCAAATAACTGAATTAAATGCATTTGCTTTCTTTTTTATCATTTGTGTCTAACATGGGCTTTCTGTTCTGAAGACCAGCAAATTAATTTTGAAGCTACACAAATACATGTGTGTATTTTTCATTATATGGGAATGTTCATATTTTTTCCTGATCTGGAATTCAAATTAAAAAAATATATAATTTCATAATTTTTTTTCCACACTATCATAAAGATCTAAACATCTGGTTGACTTTACATGTACAATAAATTGAACCAAATTTCATAATTTATAGTCCCTTTGAATAATTATATATGTACAAAGAAAATTTAAAGCCCTAAAAATTTTCTTCAGAAAAATTTGAAAATATTTTATAGAATTGTTGATTTAATTGATTCCCTGATAAGACAAAGTTGTGGAATGTGTGTGAAGCACTGTGAATTCACCCAATATATATTTTTTTTTTGAATTCTGGAATCAATAGATTTCAATAGAAACGGAAATATAGGTCAAAATTTTAATAAAAAACTTCATCAACAATAAGCACTACTGCATTTTACCTAATCAACTAACAGTTACAAATCAAACATAAAAATCAAGAAGGAATGCCATTATTTAAAAAAATAATCAATCAAAACAAAAAGAATACACAAAACTAAGCACTCATTAGAATAATTAATTGGGAAGTATCAACCAAAAGCACACAAAAATGGAATGTCATAATTCATCCATGGAATATAAAAAGACTAATATACATTTTTTGAGTTGCTCTAAAACACACTTCAATATCATTAAAATAGAATCTGAAACTACTTGCACTACAATAAAAATCTTTATTCTATCAATACAAAGTTAGAAATTGTGAAACACAGAAAACATCACCTAAAATGTGAATAATATTAATGTACATACATAAGCTATTCTTGCATAGTATTAAAATGGAATTCTTTTGACTTGGAAGACAATATGCTTCATACTTTGGGACTGTATATGATTATCGAACCTTGTCCTTATATATCCACTAAGCTAACCATCCAAAGCACAATCATAGCACATACTCTTGATCTCCGGTAATATCATGAGCTTTCTGGAGATGGATGCGCAGAGAACTTTCTGTGTTAAATCCCTTGAAGCACACTCGGCACCTGAAATGCATTTTAAGGTGGACCCCAAGTCCATTAAAAGTCGCGAAACCTCGTCCACAGAACTTGCACTTGTGATTCAACTGATTGAGCGCTTGAGTCTTAATGCCCGTGACCTTGTGAGTTCCCAGACCAGGTGTGGTCCCCGATCCATCAGAGGGCATGCTGGGAACATCCATGTTCCAGTCAATATCCTTCCCATGAACACTTCTCACATGCTTCTGGAGATCATAGCAAACAGAGTATTTCTTATCACAGTGAGCACACTCATACGGGCGAAATCGTGAATGGACACGCTTCACATGCTGCTCTAAGCTGTCATTTCCCCAGAAGCGTTTTATACATAAATTGCATTTATATGGTCGGTACTCCCCATGGTGCATTTTTATATGGCGCTTAAGATTGCCCATATAAGCAAAACTTTTCTCACAATGCGAACAAGGGTAGGAACCTTGTTCTGGCCCACCCTGGGTTACTGGATCTGGGCTACTTGGTTCTTGGCTGTCATCTGTTTTTGATGATGGGCTGCCTGTTGCTTTGGAGGTGGGGCTAACAGGGGCACTTTTGTCCAACGGAGAGCAAGTTGGTGAATCTGCAAAATATAAAACCAGAAAATTAATTGCAAGGCAATCAACTAATATTCTTTTTATCCATTTTGGCAACATAGAAATTAAAGCGTTTAATCAAGGATTACAGAAATTAAAACATGTTTCATAAGGTATTGCACAGTTCAGCCCTACAAATGTAAACTTTAGTCAGGGCAAAGAGCATGTTTAATTCATGCTTCTGATGTAAGACTTGCAATTCATACTATTACTTCCACAGTTAAGCATATATAACCAATTGGTATCCCTAAGTTTACCTTGGTAATTTGCAGTTACATATTTTTTTTCTCTTTTTTTATCTTTATGAAACTTTTCAATACATAATAGTCCAAGCAAACAGTACTACACTTACATGTCTCTGGTTTGCGAGTTTCCTCTGCGACAAGTCCTCCTGCAGTAGAAGACTCTGGCGCAGCAGGGGAAGTTCGTATCTGTTTACATGGACTGGCCTCCCTCTGTAGCAGCATCTCTTTATAGTAGACCAGCAGTACCTCCCTGTCTGACACACACTCCATCCCCACATCATCTGGCATACGAACAGGAACGGTCAATTTTCTCTTAGCTCTACCCTTACTCTGAAGTAAAAACTCCTCCGCTCGTTCTTTTAATTGCATAGGTGTTAATGTAAAATGATCCGTTTTCTCTTGGTCTTCTGTTGCATTATGCTGTATTTCCCTATTCAAGGATAAATCCTGTGCCATCATTTGGGTCCCCTGGTTAACATCAGATGGAGATTTGGGTTCATCTGGAGAGGTTCGTTTTGGACTCATGTGAAGATCTAAAGGAAGACATGGTGACTTTGGTCGGAGCACAGGCAATAAGGGGGGCATCTCTAAGGGGCTACTGGCCATCTGGGTGAAATTTGGTAAAAGTTTTTGACCCAATTTCCAAACAGTGTCTGGATTGAGAAGGCCATTTAAAGTCAGTGATGGGTCATGTAACATGTCAGTCATCTTGGTAAATCCATGGAGAAACTGAAAATAATAAAATAAAATCAGCTCACTATTTGTGTACTTGTTGATATATATAACTAATTTATTATACCCACAGAATTTTTCTTATCATTATACATCGATCATTATACATGTATTCTATAAGGTTTGATTAAAACATTTTGAATAGTTTCTGTAAAAATCAGCTCTACTGGTTTATAAAAACACATTTTGAAAAGTAGCAGTTGGGTGAGACTTTAAATCAGCAATAAAAGAAAAAAATCCTTGCCACTCATCAAAATAAAAAAATGCACAGAATTATGTATCAATATAACTTGTGTGCCAAGTTATACTGAAATCTCAAAACTGCAGGAGGAGTAGTATTTTGAAAGAATTTCACAGAAATTTCTATTTTTAGTAACCATGGGCAACATTGTTCATTGAAATCAAAAACCGATGCACAGAATTAAAAAGTTTGTTTGCCAAGTTATATCAAAATGGCAAAACTGTAGGAGGAGTAGCATTTTGAAAGAATTTCACAGAAATTTCTATTTTTAGTAACCACGGCAACACCGTTTATCGAAATCAAAAACCGATGCACAGAATTATTATCTAGTGTAGTCTACTTGTGTGCCAAGTTAAAAAATCTGTAGGAGGCTTAGCATTTTGAAAGAATTTCAAAGAAATTTCAGTAACCAAAACCGTTCATCGAAATCAAAAACCGATGCACAGAATTATGTATCTTAGTGTAGTCTACTTGTGTGCCAAGTAATATTGAAATTGGACCAAAACTGTAGGAGGAGTAGCATAGAATTTCAAAGCATAGTAACCATGCACACGTTAATGAATCAAAACCCGATGCACAGAATTAACACTACTTGTGTGCCAAGTTATATTGAAATCTACCAAAACTGTAGGAAGTAGCATTTTGAATTTCACAGAAATATCTATTTTTATTAAACGGCAACACTGTTCATCAAAATTTGCACAAAATTATGTATCTTAGTGTAGTCTACTTGTGTGTCAAGTTATACTGAAATTGGACCAAAACTGTAGGAGGAGTAGCAATGAAATACAGACAGACGGACGGACGACGGACGCATTACTATCGCATAAGCTCTTCTGGTCTCTGACCAGTAGAGCTAAAAATCAGCTAAAAACACATTTTGAAGTGAGGTCAAGGTCAAAGAAAAGGTCAAGGTAAAAAAAAAATGATGATGCAATATAATAGCTCTCATCAATGTACATATTAGCATGTGAAGTTTTATGAAGATACATTAAAAAGTTTCTTTAAAATTGATCTAATGGCAAAATGTAACTGAAAAACAGATGGAAGGACAGAAGATGGACATGACAAACACTTCTTAGCCCAGACCATTATCTTGTGGGGCATTAAAAATTATCTTCACTGTGGTCTAATCATAAAAAACTCATGACAGGTTGGCAAACTCAACTGAAGATTACCTTGCATACAATGCATCATGCATGACTAATGAACAAGGAAACAACACTATTGTGCATTTAAAATATTTAGATTAAAACTTTGCTATATCTTTCTTATTAAACCAACTGTTTAATTTATTTGAATGGCATTTTTGAGTATTATACTTATGCGATGAAATATACATAGTCGCTCAGGCTAAAGTGATGTCACATTGAGGCTATACATACATACCAGTAACAAGAGATGTTTGTAAAACACTTATGCCCCACTCCCCCAATAATAATTGGAATTTTTCTAAGTCCAAGGGATATAACTCTGTCTAAAATGGTCCCATTGTACCCAAAACAAAGCTTTACCTAGATATTCTTATGATAAATCTGTATACCAAATTTCATTTCAAAATGTGCAACCTCTGCAAATAAAATGAATGGAAACTGCAAATAATTGGAATTTTCTAAGTCCAAACAATACTTGGCCTAGATATTCTTATGATAAATCTGTATACCAAATTTCATTTCAATATGTGCAACCTCTGCGAAGAAAATGAACAGAAACCAATGGTGAACCGACAGACAGACCGACCTACAGATGGACAGAAGCAAAGCAATATTCCATCCCTTCTTCAAAGGGGTCATAAAAATACAATGCATCGGGAAGCAAGATATTCAAGCATGGAGTGTATTCATGCTACTTTTAAACATGTCAAAATAAAAGGAATGGGGTTTTTTGGTAGTGTGTATGCTTAAGAGGCTGGTAGGAAGCAATTTCCGTTGGGGGTAGGGAATGGGATGTGGTGGGGTTGGGCATGCATTTTCAGTTCGGGGGCACTATCAACCACCAAAAATTCCTTGACAAGCCAAAAAAAGGGTCACCTGATGTTAACATTCAGGGGGCACAAGTGTATGGTAGCTATGTTTTCTATAGTATTGTATAATTCAACATATCGGCAAATAATTGGGGGGGGGGGGGAGGGGGTACAAACACACCCAGTTCCTAAGGCCATGCTTAAATTATAGTATCTAAATACACAATGAAATGTTTGTAGCAACTTAAATGCTAATAAATATATTTTGTAAACATGATTTTTAACCATTCCATATACACTGTAGGTTTTCATCTTTTAATTAAGTATTAAAAGATTTAGTCTCCCTCTCCTTATATCAGTCTACAATTCATCAACATTTTAAAATACTGTTTACAATGAACATTTAAAGATAACATGAAATATTTTTCATCCCTTTAATAGATTTTTTTCTTGTCAGGCATATAGCTAAAAATATACTTTCAAGTTAAATGGCCTTCACCTTGCTTTACCTGGAACATAACTTTTTCCGAGAATTTGTAACTCATTCATTACTAAGTAATAATAAAACATGAATTACACAGTCAGTAAGTGGTGTTGTTCGGTCACTGTTTGTTTTATTAAGCATATATCTGGGTGCACTGGTGTAAAATGTCTCCCCAAAGTGTATTTATTCCTCCCAATATTTTCTATGGAGGAGAGGGGGGAGACATGCATAATACTGTGATGAATTCGTGGGACTAGCTAGACTTTTTTCAGATAACATATGGTTGATATTCCTGAATCAGGATATTTTCCTACATAACATCATGTAAGTAATAGTGATCAATTCTATTGTGCATCAAGCTATTAGTTTGTTGAAATCTTTGATCCACCACCAGGCCTGCCACTTTTAAAAGTACATGGTGAAATTATATGTTCATATTTCCTGTTTTACCAGATAAACTCTATAGTTCTAGATACAATAGATATGTTTACCTTTGTTGATCAAGATAATTTTTTTAAATTAATCTTTTATTGATATGAATCAAGAATTATAATTGATACTCTCTCAAGCATGCAGACACTTGCTGTCTTACAAAAATGTTTTACCCTAGGCACATTTCTATCAATATTCATGATGAAAGAGTCGTAAATTTAAATAAGTGATTCTTTACTTCCTCCTATTTTGACACTCTCCTGTAACTCATCACAAATCCATTTATATCTATATCCCCCGCTTGAAAAGTGGGACTGTATATAGTGATTGGGATTTCTGTCTGTCTGTCCATCTGTCTGTCCGTCCGTTACGCTTTGGGGTGAACCATTTCTAATTCGCTACTCTTTTTATACCACTGAATGACTTTCAATGAGAACTTTTACAGAATCTTTATTAATATATAGTGCCATTGTGCACCTCCAATTTTACTTTTTTATCAGACACATATTTCAGGTTTCCTATGGCAACTATGGACACTGCCATTCTTTCTATAATTTCTATAATATTGAAGGTACCCATCTTTTATCTGCAACTCCTCCTATACCATTGAATGAAATTGATACATTCATAGATTCGTTATTACATATAATGCCATTGTGCATCTCCTATTTCATTCTTTGATCTGACACTTATTTCATGTCTCACAGAACAAAACATGGACGTTGCCATTATAATAGTATGGGAGGCAGGAGTATCATTTAGTGAGCTCAGTGCTACCTCTACTGTGTATCATAAGTATATTGGCATATTCACAAAAGATTTTTTTTTTTTAATTTACAGTGTTATGTTTGGGGATAATAAGCTAATGCTAGCTGGTTTAATAAAATTTGATGTTATTTATAACAGTATGTTCCTCTAAAAGGTCTCTTAGATACTTTTACATTGAATGTCAGGCACTAAAATGCTAAACAAAACAGTTCTATTCCTGTTTTCAAGTCCAAAGTTTGAACTTCCAAAGAATTGAGTACATTAGGCAAACTTAGCTACTAGGTAGTGATAGACCTAACAGTCAAGTTTTTAGTTGAATTCTTTGACCATGCAGGAAAGCCTAGCCACTTTCAACACTGCTTTCTGACAATATTGCAGCCTGGAGGACAGGGCTTCTCTACATACTTGGGATTGTAATTTTTGGATTATTGGATTGAGGTGGGAGAACTAATTCAGAATTACAAGTTAACTACACATTAGAAAGATTATACATAAGAATGTTCTTTCCCTTTATAAATTACAAGATACACAATATATTTACTTCCATGAAGTACATCATGAAAAATAATTATATATTTTTTCATATTTTAATCACTATGGGCCACAGTGCTCATCTAAGTAACAACTGCCCTTCTTGCTTCTTTTCATAAACCCATGTGACTTTGATAACCCATAATAGCCCAATCCTATCCCCACAATCATGATTTGAACGACCTCTACAATATCTCAAATACAATATCTGAGGATGCTTCTTTAGGAATACTAGTATGACTTATCATGATTTTTGTATTTCTGTGTAAAACTTTGTTCACTCACTGTGGTGACAATCTGCAATTCTAACCCTGGGAGTCATGCTTTGAACAAACTTTAATATACACTATATTTGTGGATGCTTTCATTTAAATACAAATTATAACATGGCCTTGCTGTTCTTATTAGAAAATTTTTTGAAGATTTGTTGCGTGGACCCTGTGGTCCACGCAGTAAATATATAAGCGAAGTTATACCGGATGCCCTGGGCAAACGACAGGCTACGCATGCGCGAGAATGCTAGAGAGTTCGCACTTTAGGTAACTTGCCCGTTGAATAATTCGCCCCATTTGAATGAAAATTTTGCCATTCATTGGCAAATCTGCACATCGCATTACATATTCATTGCCAGATCCGTTTTTCTCTCTTTTACGTAAACTTTTATATACAAACTAAACATTGATTCTATGGTACAAGCACTTTAAGAAGTTACGGTATATAGATACATGTAACTTATCAACTTGAATGAAAAACGTCACTCAACGAATAGAGATAGCTTTTAAAATATAGAGCAAGTTTTCTCGGCAATTAGTTTTGTGCATCAAGGCTTGCAAAATAATTTAATATTTCAGCAATCTAAATATCGTTTGGTAAAGGTCTGTAGCAACGGCTTTTAATGTGTGTGTGTGTGGGGGGGAGGGTGACCAAAAAATTCTGCGTACTACAGCTGTGCTACTCGTGAACCATCAGATCTCCATTTTTCCCATGATAAATTAATCCAGAACAGTATGAATTACACGTATCAAAATAACCCAATTTTTTAAGCTGACAAAAACTATATAAAGGTCGCTAATCGCAGATAAAATTTCACAATTTTGCTTTGAGACTACAATCAGTTTTAAGTAAGCAGATCATTGTAGTAAAAGTGAAAAAACCTACATGAATATTCCCTACACATAGAAATTTTCTTAATTGAATATCAGTTAGAAAAAACATGCATATGGTCCACGTATTACAGTCCTTTTTTAAAGGACTGCAACTTGTCTTATGTATTTCCTTTGGAAAATGTTGATCTCCAAAGTAGCCTCACCATACCACCAGAGGTCATGATTTGAACAAACATGAATCTACAGCTTTTGAGCATGCTTTCCTACCAATATAACAAATCAGTTTTGTTGTTCTAAGAATTTTTTTTGAAAACCCATGTAAATCTCTTATTTCTCATTGAATCCCCACCACACCCCCTCTAGTGCCATGATTTGTACTTTAATCTACACTATTGTAGCTTCAAATAAGTTTCATCTTTTCCAGCCCAGTGGTTCTTCTTAATACTCTTTTTTTTTTTTTACTTTTTCCTAAATCTCCCTCCCCCCTCCACATAGGGTGTAGCCCTTCATTTAAACAAATTTGAACCCCCTTTATTTGACATTTTTAGGATACTCTGTGATAAGTTTGGTTGAAATTTGCCCAGTGGTTCTGTAGAAGGAGATGGACTTAAAGTAAAAAGTACAAGAATGGAAAGTGGATAAATTTTGATCAGAAAAGCTTACCTGAGCCTTCAGCTCAGGCCATGAGAATGAACCTGTTTAACTTTTAACCTGTGATATCAACAGCAACATTCTTAAGCTGCATCCAGGTTTATATTGTAAATTCTGTGTGTATAATGTATATCACTTCTAGGCCCCTTGGCCTCCACTTTCTCAGGACATTAATCCTTTGTTCTCATTTGAACTACACAAATATTTCCTTAATAATCCAAGTAGCTCAGGTAATGAAATCTCAGATGATTTATATCCCCAATCTTTCCTCCTAATGTTGAAAAAGAAAACATTTCAGGAAAGAATAAGGGTAGATATGAGGTCAATTATGTGTCATCAAAGTAAAACAGAGTAACATTTAGACTTCTCTCAGTCAGGTTAAATGTAAAGTAAACACTCAAAAGTCTTGAGCAATGTTACCCTTTAGAAACAATCAAAATATTTTTTACAATCTTAACTTCGCATTCACATAGTTTTTCTGCTCATTAATTTCTTCATTATTATTTATACAGTTTTTCTCTCCAATTTCTGGCTTTCTTTTTGTTTTGTTTTGTTTTGTTTTTTTTTTTAAGTATATTGTTAGAAAACTAATTCCTGTCGGTATTTTAAGAATCATTTTAGTTCTTCATTTTAACATATCCAAAACAAGATCATTTGCTCTCATTCAAGCAAATTTCTCATAAAACTCAGCTTCTACTCACTCAATTAAATGTTTGAACTTTTACAATTTCAAAATACAACCAACTTATAGGCAGACGGACTTATACGCGAGTATATATGGTAACAAAGATTCTGTGAAAGTCTCATTCAATTTCATTCAGTGGCAAAAGAGTTGTGGATAAGAGATGTGTACCCCAAAAGTTTTAATTAAATACACTTTATTTAGATGGTCATTGACTCTTCATTGACAAAATTTTCACGAATTGTGGTCAGTGCTCTATATAATTTTAAGGAATTTTATTATACACGAGAATGAAATTTTCGCGAGCATACCATCTCGCGTAATCACGCGAAAATAAAGTTCTCGCAAATAAAAAGTGATTTACAGTAAAGATGGATGGACATCCTGTTTACGATATTCTCTCTTACTTTTCAAGGGGGGTGGGTAGTGGGATGGGGTTATTATACTTGTCAAGACAAAAATTAAGAGGAGTTTTGTATTACTGTACATGTATCAATGTATTTTTTAAAATGCAAGTATGGGTCAATGTCAAATGCATTGTATGATAATGAATCAGGCAACCCTCAGCTACTGGCAAAGTTAGCAAAACCAGATCATATAGATATAAAATGTATCTGTTTGTATGTCAAGTGATCAAAGTGATATTAAAGATAAAATAGTCAAAATTTTCTGATAAAAAGAAACCTTTTACATAAACAAGTAAATCATGCAATGATGCATGCTATTTGTGAAAAATTGTTTCTATTTGAGCTATTCTTCATGCTGACATTACATTACAATTTGTTTTAAAAAAAAACCTACAGCAATATCTCAGATTGCTACATAACAAAAATGTCCATGACTTGTTTTCTTTACTTTTAAATTCATCTTCTATTCCCCAACAGGCTCTATATTTATTATATAATAGCATTGAGTCAACTGACCTCACCTGGGACATTTCTAAAAAGTAAAAGTAGCTAAAAGGATACTATTTTGAAGTTAGAATGACATTAAAACAGAGCGGGGAGTGTAACAAGGGGGATTCATACTGCATGGCTATCAAAATACAGCTAAATATACAATGGAATGGATAGCCTGGTAAAAGATTATTTTCTTTCATTCAAAAAGCCCAATCTTTTAAAATATATATAATTAAAACATATTCCAAGAAATTAAGTAACATTTGTCAAATGAGCAAGTAAAACATTTACTTACATTGCTGAAACAATAACAATTTATCAGTGACATTTATAAGTAAAAAATACATTCCATAAAATATGCAGTCCTACATTTGTTTTTACCCTTCGTAGACCGTTTTGTTCACCTTGTTTATTTTTCAAGGTGTACTTCAATACCTTTAAATTTCTAGAAACCTTGCCAGGACATTAAGCTTCTTATATTTCAGGGAAGTTTTAGCTGGAAATCCTGCCTAGAAAATTTAAAAGGCTACACACATGACTAAGTCTTGAATAAAATGTGCTACATGAAATTTTATGAACCCCTTCTTTTTATGTAGACTTGGATACATAAAGGCTCTATTTATACACCTGATCTCATTAAAATCCATAACTAAATTCAATTGTATTGCAAAATAAATTCATATTTTGACCCCGATTTTTTTTTTATAACTGTATGTTCCAAACAGAATCCTGACATGACACTATATCTTAACCCTGCAATCATTTTTGTTCAGGAATTTCAAAACAATCTTACCAGTTTTCAAAGTGGTCATCTTTATGATCAATGTAATGATAAACAATTTTAAACAAATCTGCTACCACAAACATGATAATAAAATCTACACACTGGTATAAATATAGATAACTCTCTTCACCTTGCATCATTACTGCATACATGATTACTTACAAAAATTAAAATGCATAATTGAATGTAAACAGATGTTTAAAAGTTACTCCTTAATACACGAGGAAAATTCTGCGGCTTGAAATGTTTTGGAATTATTTTTCCATCTTGTTATTCACATGCAATACTAAACCCTGTATTTGCAAATGGGCCAATCTTTTAATACGATGTATTATGACATGGCTTTTATGTCCATCAGTCTGTCTGTCTGTTAGCTTTAACGCATCTAGCTTTTAACTTATATACCGGTACTATGAAGTCTAAAATGATAAAAAATTGTCAACTGGTACATCTTGGGCAGCAAATGTGTCACACATTAAAAGTAGGCCACTGTGATCTTTAATATAAGATGAAAAGGCAAAATATAACAAAATCCTGTCTTTCTCATGACTGGAAAAACTATTAGACTAATAACCGTATGTTTATGTAACAAGCTTTGCTCGTATGCAAATAATTTGCATATGTGCGGCACATATTTTGGTTGACCAGTCAGGGGCTATGTTGAACATGTAGCTTTTTTTCTTAAATTAAAATTCTTCACACTATATATTTTTTTATTTAACTGAATAAATTTTAGTACATTACACATAATAAACCATGAAACGTGAAAATTCAGTCTCAGTAAAATTCATTTTCAAACCCAAGCCCTGTCCTGGATGCAGCTAGTTCTAGTCTATCATCACTTATAATGACCAGAATCTTCTGCCAAAGTTAACAATTTGCTTTTTCTCAAAGTGGCTTCAATCAAAAATTATTCTCAATATTCTCTGGCTATAACAATTTCTTTTTTTATGTAGCTTAAGAAAATTGACTTCATCGTAAAGACACATGCATGTTTACTGGTAACAACTGTCTCACAATTTACTGTATGTGTACTTAAACAAGAGGCCCATGGGCCACATCGCTCACCTGAGCACTGTGGCTTGGAAAAGGTAGAAAATTGGTTTATTATTGAAAAGTTTTAATCCAAAAGAAGTCCCATGACAAATCATGGCTTTACTATTCTTGAGAAGATGATTTTTAAAGAATTTTTCTATATATTTCTATGTAAAAATTTGGTCGGCCATTGTGGCCCCGCCCTACCCCTGGGGGTCATGATTTGAACAAACTTGAATCTACACTACCTGAGGATGCCTCCATATAAATATGACCAATCATGGCTTTGTATTTCTTGAGAAGAAGATTTTTCAAGAATTTTCCTATATATTTCTATGTAAAACTTTGGTCGGCCATTGTGGCCCCGCCCTACCCTCGGGGGTCATGATTTGAACAAACTTGAATCTACACTACCTGGGGATGCTTCCATATAAATATGATGAATTATGGCTTTGCTATTCTTGAGAAGAAGATTTTTAAAGAATTTTCCCATATATTTCTATGTAAAACTTTGATTCCCCATTTTGGCTCTGCCCTACCCCCAGGGGTCATGATTTGAACAAACTTGAATCTACACTACCTAGGGATGTTTCCATATAAATATGACCAAACATGGCTTTGTTATTCTAGAGAAGAAGATTTTTAAAGAATTTTCCTATATATTTCTATGTAAAACTTTGGTCGGCCATTGTGGCCCCGCCCTACCCCCGGGGGTCATGATTTGAACAAACTTGAATCTACACTATCTGAGGATGCTTCCATATAAATATGACCAATCATGGCTTTGTTATTCTTGAGAAGAAGATTTTTCAAGAATTTTCCTATATACCGTATACAGGGAAATTTTCGCCCTTGTTTTATATATTTCTCAAAGAATACAGTATAATTTCTTAAACAAAACTATGACTGGGCGAATTTAAAATGGTGCAAAATTGTTAGCAAGAGTGAAAGGGCGAAAATAAGACAGGGCGAAAATAACCCTGTATACAGTATTTCTATGTAAAACTTTGGTCGGCCATTGTGGCCCCGCCCTACCCCCGGGGGTCAAGATTTGAACAGACTTGAATCTACACTACCTGAGGATAATTCCACATGAGTTTCATCTTTCCTAGCTCAGTGGTTCTTGAGAAGAAGATTTTTAAAGATTTTTCCTATATATTCCTATTTAAAACTTTGATCGGCCATTTTGGCCCAACCCTACCCCCGGGGGTCATGATTTGAAAAAAATTGAATCTACACTACCTGAGGATGATTCCACATGAGTTTCATCTTTCCTGGCCCAGCGGTTCTTGAGAAGAAGATTTTTAAAAAATGCCAATAATTTTTTCTTAATTCATAATTATCTCCCCTTGGAAAAGGGCATGGCCCTTCATTTGAACAAACTTGAATTCCCTTCACCCAAGGATGCTTTGTGGCAAGTTTGGTTGAAATTGGCCCACCGGTTCTTCAGAAGAAGTCGAAAATGTGAAAAGTTTACGGACAGACAGACGGATGCCGGACAAAATGTGATCAGAAAAGCTCACTTGAGCCTTTGGCTCAGGTGAGCTAAAAAGCGGGCTTCATATTTCAGCGGCTTTGGCGCAGACAACAATGCGCTAATTTATGAATACCACTAAGAAATCATTTATATATATATATATATGCTCAACAAAAAAAGAAACGCATATTCAGATTAAACAATAAACATAATAATCAAAGTTTTCATTTTAAACCTTATATTTTAAAAGTGATTTTAGTGTGTGTTGTGATAAAAATCAAACATGTTCTATGTTGCGAATTGAAAACTTAAGTTGATGTCATTGTCGTCGATCGCCTCCAAATTCTAGGGGCATACCGTCTTAACCAATGTCTCAGCGCTAGTTGATTTCCAATGACCAGACATCTTGCACGAATACCAACTCCTCTAAGTCCTCTCAAAAGAAATTGTGCACTTTTATGCAGATTTTTCATCCATCAATTGCAGCAGCAGTTTGTACAGCAGTTCTGTGTCGATTGCACAGGTGCTGAAGGCAGAGCTGATGGTCCTGCTTGGGTGTGGAAACCTGTGGAAGGCCAGTCCTTGGTCTGTCATCCATGCTTCCTAGCTGGTGGAGATGTACGTTTAACTGCTGCAAATTGATTGATGTACACCAAATGCAGTTGCAACTTCCTGTTGCGTAGCTCCGTTTAGTATCATCATTAGCCCTGTTGCATTCATCTTTGTTTAGGCATGGCAATGCAGCATCAACATTGCAATCAAATCTTACATATGGGTTAAAAGGAGTGTTCATTGATTTCCTAAATCCAAAATATCAATGAAAGTAGACCCCTGATTTACAATAAATCATGTAAAACACTTTTTTCATAAACATTACTAATCAAGGGAAATAATTCAACACTAGGATTTTAAAAGCACATGTTGTCCTTTAAATACCTGTAGGTCACAGGTACCCCTTGATAAAAAAAAATAGTTGTTCCATAAACTTTTTCAAAATTTCTATGATAAGTAAAACAATATGCGTTTCTTTTTTTGTTAAGTATACATACAATGTAAAAAATACTTTTGTAGCTCTAAATCATGATTTCGTCAACAACTCCATACCCACGTGATTGCGCTAAATTCTGAATACTCAAATTTATGTACAAGTAAAGTAGTACTAATTGTCTTCATACCAATCCATTAGAATCTAAAATCATTAACATTATATTTTACCTTTCAGTGTTGTCTTCTTTTTGAATAAGTGATACAATAAACACAGTTCAAGAAAACACTAGTACTAAATAGTAGAGATACAAAAAATATATCATTCATAATGAGAATGCTAAGAAAAAAAAAATCTCAGAGGATACTTTTCTGTTTTGTCAAATGTGCATTCAATTGCATCAATGTAGACTATAAAATCAATATCGTTTGATTTTTGTTATGAACTGTAAAACAGACAAGACTATATGCATTTTGTCTTTACCTGATATGTAACCTAGGGGTATACCAAATCATCATATCTTACAATCAGATCAAAAGTGCATTCAACTATTGGTAATATTCAGATCTATAAAAATGGAGTGGTCCTTTATGGTCCTGATGTTATTTCATGAGAGAAAATGTATAATTTCTTTGAAAAAAAAATTACTGTAAAATTTTACCCTTTTATGCCAGTGAACTACAATGATTTCAATTATAAGTTTCTTCCACTGTCAATTTCATATAAAATCAGTCTGTTTTTTAAATCAGGTTGATAAATAGGCTTTTCAAGCACTTGCCAATATAAGCTAGTACATAATCAAAACTCACCCCACATGAACATGTATCAATTTTAACTTGCCCAACCAAACTCCATAAATTCGCCCATTCATGCACCCCTAAAATTCCCAAGGATGATATTTTATCTAAACATACTAAAGCTAAAGGAATGCCTCTATGATTCTGAAATTCATATACTATGATAATTTTTCAGCAGATCTATATTTTAAATGGTTTAAAGATGCTGATCAAATTGAAAAAAAAAATCTTACAATTGATGTGCTTGAAGGAAAGTGTGCTCACGGGCATCATATCCATCATACATTGTGCAATATACAGTATCTCTCTTATCCCTGTAATTAAGCCTTTCAGTTATAGGTTAATCAAACTGATTTCAGGTCCGACACCTGTTTCCTCAGTATTGTTGCATCTTAAATGATACTCAATAACTTTTCAGGTTTATATATTGACAGATGTGAAAGGGGAGGGGGTAACATGAGTTTTAATGCAAGAAAAATTATCTTTTGGATATGTCTTATGATTAATATGCTACTTAAACAAAAAAAAATCAGGACCAAAATAATTTAGGGTATTATTAAATTCCTGTGGAAGTAATGACAAAAATGTAAGGAACATAGTTGATCTGCAGAATTTGAATTGGCGGTTCAAATATACAGAGAATAAAATAAAGAAACTGAAACAGAATTTTTTCGTGGGTAATGTTTAATTTCATTCAGAGGGTGTCACT